ATTAACGGCTATAGCCTCATTTAACTCTGCTATTGTGGCGTCAAAAAAAAAAGGCGTAAAAAAAACTTTGCTATTGTTCCCTCAAAAAAAAAAATAGCTCTGCTATTACTGTCGAAGAGGTCATCCTCTAATCTAAACAGAGACATTTAAAACAATACAAAAGAGATGCCACTACTATAAAAACGATTTTGCGCAGCGTTCCACTTTTGCACTCCGTGGCAGGCTCCTATTTTTGCCCGCTGCGGTAAATCCCACGATTTACTGCGCGGGCGGCATTTTTTATTTACCGTGGCGAGCATTTTTGCCCGCCGCGGTAAATCGATTTACCGTGGCGGACGTCCTAAGACGTCCGCCTCGAAAATACTCTATTTTCTCGAGGCGGACGCTCTTACGTCCGTCCGCGGTAAATGGATTTACCGTGGCGGGCGTCCTATGAGACCCGCCTCAGTTAAGGCCGTGGCCCAAAAGGCCCAACGAAGCCCGATAGCCGTCTTCACATATAAATACGTAGTATTTAGGGTTTCACTCCTAGTTTTCCTTTCTGCCTCAGCCACTCTCTCCCACCGAAGACCGAACAAGTCCGCACCTCGTTCCCTCTCCTTCCATCGCACCCTCTCCGTCGTCCTCGTGCGCACCTCCCTCTCTCTCCTTCCGTCGCACCCCCTCCCTCCCCGTCCCTCCTCCTCTCCTTCCGTCGATAGAAGCGCGGTGGCGCCCGACCGGTGGCGCGCGACGGAGGCGCCCACGGCGTTCGCGAGGCCACGGTGGGTTCTGCACAACACAACCCGCAGCGTCGTCAGCGTGGGGCGGCGGGCGCGCGCTGGGGGGCGGCGGCGTGGTCGCGTGGAGCCACGGCGGCGAAGCGGGGCGGCGGCTGGCGCGCGCTGCTGGCTGGCTGCCTCCTTCCCTTCTTCTCCGGTGTCAAAGCGGATCCACGACCCATCCCGCGACAGATGGCCGCCTCCACCTCCCGCGACGGCGGATCTGGCAAGCAGGCAAGATCGAGGTAATGGCACCGCCAGTATCCTCTACCTCACTCTCTTTCTCCATCTCTCCTAGCTCCTCTCCCTCACTCCCTCTTTCCTTCCTCTCTCTTTCCATACAGGGAGGTGGATCTGGAGGTAGAGGCGGTCTTGCCCATCTCCGTGGCGGTGGGCCCGTGGCTCTCGAATGCGGGCCGGCCGATCGATCCGGCGTGAAGAGGTGGAGGCAATCGGATCTAGGGGACGACGACGGCGACGATGATGCGAAGATCCCAAATGACACTAGAGTTGCGGGCTGGGATTGGAATCACTGGCAGGCTCGGGATATGGGCTTGCCGGTGGGCTTTGGGTTTTTTTTGTTTTTTTCCTCAGCTTTACCGTGGCGGACGTTCTAAAGTGCCCGCCGCTGCTAATAGGTTTACTACAGCGGGCACTAGCGCCCGCCGCGGTGGATTCACGATTTACCGTGACCTTCTCACCGCGGCGGACGCGTTTGCCCGCCGCGGGAAACCAAAATTGCCCGCTGCAGTTAAGCATTCTGTAGTAGTGTGCGCGACGTGCTGCAGCATGCAGATGCCAATATGATGCCATTTGGTCTGCGTCTCTGCATGCACCATGGGTGCACCGTCGCGTGGGGCCGACCGGCGTAGCACAGACAGGACAGCAGCAGCAGCCGCGGATCGGATCTACGAGTCCATTATATTATATTATATTGACCCGCTTACGCTAAAAATTAGCTTATGCTGATGTTTATGCTAAAATATTGTGAGAGAAAAACACTGTTCTATGACTAAAAAAGTAGCTAAAGCTAACAGGTTCATTATATTAATTAACCAGTTGCTCGCAGTAGTGTCAGCAATCGTATATACTCCGTATCTGTCAAGGCTGTGGAGTAATAGATATACGACAGCGTCAGTAAGATATATAGTGCTCGTGCTCGTAGTGTATAAGATACTCACTCATCCACAAATAAATTGGGAGCCTCAATGTAACGCCTCCAAAACTTTGATAGTAGTCAGAATGTTATGCTCCAATAGTGAGATGACACCCGATATGTGGAGTTTGTCAATTTCAGCTAAAGTGTGTTTGGTTCATCTTGGTGTAGACAAATTGTTCGGTTCGGTGGCATGATCTTTTTGGGAATGAGCAACCAAGAGGCAACAAAAAAGTTACAAAATTCAGCATTCAGGATGTACAATCCTTGGCCCTATCCCTTGCACATCCATTTGTACATGGTCACTTCTTTACCTTAATGATCTGGACGCGCTATATTCAATACATTTACCTATAGTGCATAAATTTGTGGCGGGTGAATTGTGAGTAAATTTCATGTGACAAATCGTAGCAGGCTAAAATTGATAAGCGCAGACATGGCCACAACCAGCACGACCAAGACCATGATGTTGTTCGGCTCATGGTTTTACGGCTGATAAGTCCGTTGATACTGTTTTATCGTGAGAAAAAAACAATGTATCATGACAGATAAGCCGGGTTGATAAGTTCATTCCGCTTAAGCCTGCAACTAAAACCAACATAACACATGGACGATACAGTCGTCACCTGACAGCAACGCACAACGGCACAACCTATAACATGTGTGCCGTATGTGCTAAAATCAAATGGCCTGACATTGTTATGACTGGCGCATGTAGCATGTGCGCACGCGGCCAAGCGCGTGTACCGTGCCAGTATATCTTAATCTTATGGATTAGTCGATGTGACTGATTGCAATTGCAAGCGTCCACAGGGCGATCCGGCTGCTAGCTGCCTTCCTGATCTTGCTGACGTTGTTCACCTGTTCACCACGGAGTATAAGATATAATGCATCTATCTACTGCAATAAGAAACATATAATAGTGCACAACTGTAATTGGTAGCAGGACAATCGACACGTGCAGTTAGCATTGTTGTCAAGTAAACCAAATTTTATTATTATAACAACATGAATCAGTCGATGGCCAAACTAATCAAACCGTATAAACTTTAATAATAAAAATAAATGTTTCTTGCCGTGCAACTCTCTCGATAAGATTGACACGTGGAAATCAGGACACGACGACGACTAACTCATTGCCGACTTTAAAAAGATATTAAAATTACATATTTTTATATATCCTCAAAAGAAGTCACCGAACATGATATCTAACTCTAATAAAAATAATTAGATGTCTAACTTTGTCATCCTTGTTTTCGTTAATGAGCCAGTTCGTTTGTGATTGCTGCAACAACCACTCATAATATCAAAAGTAGCATCTATACAAATTAAGTTGTCGCGGCCGTTCCAGTTGTACAGTAAGCTGAAGCGAACAGATCGAATGTTCGATAGTTTTTTTTTCTCCCGTCGCAACGTATGGGTATATTTGCTAATAATAATGCACAATTGTAATTTGTTCCATGACAACCGACAGGTGCAGTTAGCATTGTTGTCAAGTAACCCAAATATTTGGAGGAACATTATATTAATATCAAAATACTATTTTTCAAAAAGTTTGAGCGGATTATGTGCCCCAGCCCCACATGCCAGAATAACCATTTTTCATGCATCCTGGGGTATGCATATACTCCCTCCGTTCAAATAAATATATATTATTCTCGATTTACGAGGAGTCAAGTATGTCAAATTTTGATAAAATATATACAAGGAAATAGTAATATTTAGGACGTGTTTGGGACTGCTCCACCAACTCTGATCCACAAACTCCACATGGAGCAGCTCCACAAAAATCCGGAGTTTATGGAGCACCACTTTAGATCCTCTCAGAAGTTCACATTTTTCTCAAACAAAGTGCGTGGAGGTAAACCTATTTGGCTAAAAAATGTGGAGTGGAGCAGACCCAAACACCTCCTTACAGTATATATAGGCCCTGTTCGTTTCGCTAAAATTTGGTTTATGTTCCTGCTTATACTGAAATATTGTGAGAGGAAAACACATTTCATTCGCTGAAAGTACTGCTGAAGTAATGCTGCAGAACAGGGTGGAGTATCTTTTTTTTCTCGAACAACGCACGAGAGCTACGTGTCATTTCATTAAGAGAGAAAAGATAGTACAAAAGTCCGGTTAAGGACTAAAACCCCAGCCAAGAACACACCCCCACACTTCTACAAAAAGAGGCCTATATACGCGCCACAGACACAAACACAACCTCGACCAAATACCCCCAGACCTATGCTGTTGGGGCCTGACGACCTCACCAGGAGTTCCTGGAGCTTAAATGCTCCAGCCATCCCCAAATGTTGATCTCATCGACACCATCATCTGGAGCAAAGCAAGGAGATGTTGGGTCTAGCATTCTCAAAAACACAAGAATTTCTGTGCTTCCATACTTCCTGTGAAACCAAAATAATTAGTGAGTTAAGTCTTTTCCTTATCCCCTTCGGGACTGCGCTCGAGCCCTCTTTCACCATAAGGAAAAACGAGTCTCGTAAACTAAGGGAGTCAGTCGACAGATGAAGAGATTGGAGGATCGGGGACCAAATCTGTCTTGTAAAAACACAACCAACCAATATATATGCTGAATGTTTTCCTCCTCCTGATCACAAAGAGGGCAGACTTCATGATGAGGCAATCCTCTTTTGGCAAGGCGGTCCGCAGTCCAACATCTATTGTTGATGGCTAGCCAAATGAAGAATTTGCAACGGAGAGGCGCCCAACTCTTCCATATCCTCCTCCAGGAGCAAATTTAATAGTTCCTACAAAAAAATGCAGCATAGGCCGACTTGTCGCTATATACTCCATTCGTGAGAGTTTCCATCTTATTTGATCTGAACTTCTTGCTGCAAGACAACTCCCTCAACATGATCCCAAATCCAAAGATATTCCAATATAACCTGAATCGAAAGAGTACCCTTGATGTCTCAGAACCCAACTTCGATTGACAAGAGCTTGTGCAATTGTCCGTCTTCTAGTTATCCTTTTAGGGATGGCCTTGAACAGGTTGTGGAGTATCATTAGATAGATCGTTGAATCTATTTTTATAATAAACTTATTTAGAAATATAAATATTGCCCGCCGCCTCGTCAGCGTGCACAGGAACAGCAGGACCTTGCCCGCCGCCTCGTCAGCGCGCACAGGAATAGCAGGACCTTGCCCGCCGCCTCGTCAGCGCGCACCGCCGCGGCCAGCGCCTTGGGCGAGAGAGTGAAGCCGCTCTCCTTGGACGTCGGTACCTCGCGGCAGTTTCCCCGGCGAATGCCGGCGATGCGCGCGGCCTTCTGGAAGGAGAAGTGGGTCTGGTCGGAGCAGTAGACCACGAGGTCTCCCATCCGCTCCTCGCCTACCTCGGCGAGCTTTCGGTCTCTGGCGGCGACGATGGTGCAGAGCATGGTCTCGCAGGACGTCCCCAGCAGCGTGCCCCCGCCGCCTCCGGAGAACAGCAGGCTCTCCGGGAGGTGCAACGCCTTGCATAAAGATGGCAACGGCCCCTGATACCTGACAGGTATTTGATCCATTAGGGAACGGGATGGGATCGTATATTTACCCGCAGGCATCTAAATGGGCAAGAATCCATCCCCGACGGGTATAGCGGTACGGGACGTTCCCTGTTTACCTGTCCTCGTTACCCGTTGGGGAACCCGACTATTTGAGCTGTCATGCGAGTATTAGGCCCAAAGAAGCTCAACATAGTTATTTTGACAAAATCTGAACAATCATATATATAGTTTGTGTGTTCTAAAAACCCTAGTTCAATTTTTCCTCACCATCTCCGCCAGCAGCACAGGCACGCATGCCTCACGAGCGCTCGTGCCCCTCGTTTTCTCAGTTCGGTTTCTCTGCCACCTTTGCTCGTGCTCCTCGCAACCTCACTCCTTCTTCTCGGCATCTCCGAGACTCCGACACTTATACCCGGTGAAGAAGAAACGTCTCCGATTGCAAAACTGCGACCCCAAGTGTCCTTATTTATCGGGTATGCAGTACCCGTCGGGTATCTGTTACCCGACCGATGTCCGACGGGTACGGGGATGTGCAAGAATCTATACTCGAGACAATTAACGGGGACGGGAATGGGATGAATTCTCCGTAGCGGGGAAGAGAACGTTCCGGCGATACCCGACGGGTACATCCCCGTTGCCATCTTTAGCCTTGCAGACCCAGTCGATGATGACGACGACCTCGAGCTCGGTGGCGGCCGGCGAGGCGGCCCACGTGAACGGGTTCACGTTAAGCCCCGCAGCGAGGGCCTCGCCGAGGGCGCCCACGTTGTTGGCCGTGGCCGCGAAGTGCGCGAAGTGGCGGGGGCTCTGCCAGTGCGTGACGCCCGGCAGGACGAGGTCGCGGACGTCGCGCAGCGCCGCGGCGAGCGCGTCGGGCTCTGGCCACGCTGGCGCTGCCTCGGGAAGCTGCCGGGCCAGGAACCCCGGAGCGACGTCCGGGCGCACGGGGTACTCGTCGATGCGCGCGTAGTAGTCCGCGATGAAGTCCACGACTAGGCGTCCTTGCCTGCGGAACTCGTCGGCGTCCAGTGGCGGCGGGTGAGGAAGCGAAGGCATGGCAATGGCGACGGGGGCAGCCGGGGTGGTGCCGCTGCCGCCGTTGGCTGTGGTGGTAGTAGTGTCGGCTCGGTTCAGGATGGCCTTTGCAGGAGACGGCGTGGAGCACTCTTGCTTCTTGGCAGGTCGTTTAGCTCATGCAGCAGACAAAGTGACTCCCACCGTGGCTCCGTGGATGCAAAGGGCTAGGAGAGGCGGGTGTATTTGATGGCGCGGCGCGCATGCATGACGTGGGACAGAGGCTAGGGCGTGGCGCCATACATGATGACGCCACATACGAGGTGTGTGTGGTACTGGTACATGCATGATGCAACAAGGAACCATAGTTTGCATGAACCACAGAAGTACATACATAACCAATTTGCGCTCATCTTCATTCCCTACCGACACCGTCAACAACGAGACGTCAACAAATGACAGCCTCGTATAAACGTGCGTGCATTTCAGGCTAGTTGGACACGTTAGGCACGTGTGCTACGTTCCTATTTTTCATATCCTATACTCTTGTCCCTGATTCTTCCTCGCTGTACGTCTTCTTCGACACCAAAATTTTTCTCCTTCCTCAAAAAAAAAAAATTCTCCTGCCTTCCAAACAATTATTATTAGAGTCCCAGTGCATCTCTTTTTAACAATAGAAGAAAAATTCGGCCTTGTCCTTAAAAAAAATCAAACCAACTTACTATAGATTCTTACCAAACAAATCCGACTTTTTTTTGAAGAATTAAACAAATCCGACTTATAGCTTGATTATTGTAATAAATGGCCATGTGCAAAGAAACGCATTGTCAGATACTCAAGGTTGCGTGGTATTATTGGGCTACCTATCATCGTCTCTATTACTGAGACACACGTGCTCCAACAGTCCTAATAGCTCATCTTAACAATTCATTGTATTATATTTCTCTCTATACTTGTGCATACAAACCCTATATATGTTTCTACTCCAAACAATACAACACCATTTCAAATCCACAATTTCCAAATTCAAATTCAACCATAGAGTTCAAACATAGAGCATCACACACTCCCATTTCAAATCCCACTCGCACTCCCTCGTTCAAACAACCCATATGTTCTCTTTTCAAGTCATTATCGTCTATACCAAGACATGAAGATGAGGGATACAGTCTGAACATATGAACTGTTATACAAGCCATACGCATGCATATTATTCACGTGGCACGCTTTGCAATAATTCTAAATGATGTCCCCATATCAACATGTTGTTCCCTTGAGGGGATACACATACATGGCCATCAATCAATTGTAGCTCTAGGCAACGAAATTGGAAGGCAGAAAGGAAATCCAAACCTTGCATATCCTCTATGAACGCATCCACACCGGCGTTGGGAGCGGTGGTGTCCATTGATGTAGGAGTATCATCAGTATCCTTATAGGCTTCAATTTCAGATGAAAAGTGTCGAATTTCTACTTTGGACGAATTACACGCATGCGGGCATCTCTCGGGAATTATTTTTCTCATTCAAAATAACAAAATAAATAAATCGCTTGTTACTTGTTTGTGTTGTCAGATCAGGGGTAACCGTTTTATTCCATAGCAATTTGGACACTAGTTGCTTGGGGTAATGTTTATGACATTCGAGAAGTTGTAAGAGAGTGTTTGGTTCCACGCCACAGAGAGCCACGCCACACTTTGGTTGCCATAGAAAGTTATGTAGCTGCTTGTTTGATGACTCAAATGAAGGCTGCCACAAGCATCAGCAGTTCAAAAAGTCAAGATTCTCGCCACAAACTGTGGCGGCCATTTTTAGTGCCTCAACCGCGGCGTCGCCGCAGATACGGCATGGCTTGCAGTGGCGTACATCCAAACAGCCCATAAATGCACTTTCTTTGTGTCTGAAAAACGTAAAGAAACATTCATAGGGTTAAAAAAAAGATAAAATTTCCATTTCCATATATGGCCATTTCTTTCAATAAAAAATGCTTACATGAGACAATGCAATATCTATATCTTGCGTCCTCGAATAGTCGAATTGAATGGCTAAAAAGAGGGGGACGCATTAATATGAAGGACTCCTACTATTTTCTCCTTTTCTCCTGCATTCGCTATTTGAGAGTTCGTCAGTCCCTACACTCAAAGGCTTCGGTCTAGAGCAACACATATAGTTTAACCACTCCCTCTATATATTCTAAATTGTAGTCGTTTTATCTTCCGTAGGACGTAACATTTCCTATACATGTAGATATATCTTATATCTAGATATATAACAAAATCTATGTCCTAAAAACACAAAAATAACTATGGTTGACGAGTTGATAAATCCAATAAATTTATCATGGGATGTAGACCTGGTGAAAGCTATCTTTTGGCCGGTGGATGCTTATCGCATCTTACAAATTCCTTTGACCTCTGGAAGAGAAGACTTGGTGGCATGGCATTTTAACAGAAGCGACCGATTCTCTGTTTGGTCAGCATATCATTGCTAGTGGGAAAGAAAGTTTGAACAGAACTATTATCAAGTGCAAGCTGCAACTGTATCAGGCTTATGCCATGTCGAGCCATTCTTGCAAATAGACACACAGGGGAATCATGTGGATGTCCAGTTTGCCAGAATGGTGTGGAAGACATCAAGCATATGATGTTCACATGTGACTATGCAAGGGAGGTCTGGCGCTTGGCATCTTGGAGAGACTACATCACTTTCAAGCCACCGCAATGACAGATCAAGATCAGTAATTATCGATGACATCATTAGAAGAGAAGAGCAGGTAGATGCACTCGATGTGGGTCTTGCAGAATTGGTGCTCACCGTTGGCTGGTATATTTGGTGGGAGCGGCGGCAATTTGTACATGGGGAGATCATCTAATGACCTTGGAGATCAGCCATGTCTATTGCGGCGCTAACAAAAAATTACAAAGCAGCGACGAAGAAAAGGTCACAGATACAACAGGGATGGGTGAAGCCTCTAGAAGGGAAAGTGATGGTGAATGTTGATGCGACTTTTGAAGAAGATGTGGGGTGTGGGAGTAATCGTAAGAGATAACACTAGAGGAGTCTTAGCTGCTGCCCATAGCTTTGTTCCACACTTGGTCGATGCACCGATGGCAGAAGCCTATGCGTTGAAAGAGGGTTTGATGCTAGAGCAGTACATAGGGTGCAACCAGTTGATTATCCAATCAGGTTGCATGGAGGTCGTAGAAACAATGAATGATGGAGGTTTTACGGCAAATTCGGTAGCTACCTTATATGATGAATGTAGCACTATATGGAGTGGGTGGGTTACAGGATATAATGATTGAGCATTATAATAGGGAGGCAAACCAAGCGGCGTATAATTTAGTAAGAAGGGCGATGTAGTCTAAGCAAAATTGTACTTGGGACGATGAGCCCCCTAGTTTCATACTTATCTAGCAAATGATGTAACTATTTTGGATGAATAAAGCATGCCGAATTGTTTTAAAAAAAACTTACGGTCCGTTTGGATGTTGATATTGGAGGAGCTGGAATTGAATTGTTACAATACCAAATCAGGCTAGCTTTGGCATTGGCTTACAATACCAAACCTGTTGTTTGGATGTTATGGAATTATTAGCTGGAATCCAATTAGATGGCAAATCCTGGCGGCGGCGGCCATGGGCTTGGGGAGGTGGATCTCGGCAGAGGGCAGACCTGGGATGGTGGCGGCAGCGGCCATGGCCTTGGGGAGGATAGAGCTCTCCGGCGGCGAGCGGAGCTCCGGGGAGAAGTGTGTCGGCGGCGGGCAGACCTTGGCCAGGGGCGGAGCTTGGCTATGGCGATGGCTCCTCTGCCGTCCGAGCTCGCGCTGCCCGCCCGCCCGTCCAAGCTTGCGCCGCCATCCACGCGCCCGTCCGAGCTCGCACCGCCGCCCGCACGCCTCTCCGCCTCGCCCAATCTCGCACCGCCGCCCACATGCCTCTCGCGAGCTCGAGTGATTCATGCGCCGCCGCCATGGAGGGGCTAGGGCTCGGGCATGGCCCTGGTGGTGCGGACGAGAGGAAGAAGAGGAGGGGCGTCGGCCTCAAAGAAGAGGAGGAGGCTCAGGCACGAGGAAGCGGCAACCATGGAAGCGGCCACCATGGAGGGGCTCGGGCTCGGGCATGGCCGGGCGGTGTCTTCCTTTTCTCGTGCGGAGACCAATTCCCCTCAATACATAGGGTCATGGCTCTCTATTGACGGTGAGGAGGCATAGGTGTGGCAAATACCCTTTGATATTGAAGTTGATTTCCAATTCCAATTTCCAAGCCATCCAAACACTGTCATTTAGAGCTATTCAATGCCAATACCAATTCCCAAGGGCCGAGGCTCAATATCTACGTCCAAACGCTACCTTATACTTAACGAAAAGAACTCCTTTTAGTGTCTCTTTTAAACATCTTTCTTTATGCGGAATACATGAACATAGGCCCGCATGACAGAAAAACGAGGTGGGAGTCCGGCCCACTAGCCAACTCCGACTCGGCAGGACGCGGCCCGCAGCCCCCAGGCGCGCCTGCGATTCCGCGAACCCGCCAGCTTGCGAAAGAAGGAGCGCCAAAATTTGAACGAAAACTTTGGAGGGAAAGCTCCCGCCAAGATAAGTACCATTCCCCCGAAACCCACTTCTTTCGTCCTTCCAGAATCCAGACCCGAGATCAGATATCAGAAATCTTCGAAGCCGCAAGGAAACGCAAGAGTCGTCGAGAGATCCGAAGCGAGGTGGAGAGATCGAGATGGCGGACGTGGGGAGCCTCGAGAGGATGGGCCGGGAGCTCAAGTGCCCCATCTGGTAACGCCGCCGCGCTGCTCCGCTCGCTTCCTCTTTTCCTTTCTTGGAGGATTGGATTGGAATCATCTTCTTCTTCTTCTTCTTCTTTTTTGCGATTGGAATCCTCTTCTTCTGTTCGTGTATCTGACAGCTCGTGATCTTTTGATGAGATTTGCGATTTGTTGTTGTACTAGCTGAAATATTTCTTTTTTGGCAGCTTGAGCCTGCTCACTTCGGCGGTGTCCATCACCTGCAATCACATCTTCTGCAAGTGAGCCCCATCCCTCGTTCCTCCCCGGTGGATCTAGTTGCGGCCGATAGTCATGTTCAATTTGGTCTCACATGTCTCTTGTTGCAGCGCCTGCCTGACGGAGTCGATGAAATCTGCCTCCTGCTGCCCCGTGTGCAAGGTCCCGTTCCGCCGGAGAGGTTAGTTCGTTAGTACAGTCATTGTTGCCATAGCTGAATTTCCATATCTTTGTTTTTTTTTGGAGATTAACATGCTTAAATTAATAACTGAAGAAATCCCAAATCCCAACAATAATGAAATCTGCTCCATAATGACCTGTTAGGCTCCATTTGGTGTATGCCATTTCTGATAAAATCCTGCATTATCCGATTTTGATGAAAGTTGAAAATGCTTGTGTAAAAATCACTGCATATGATGGTCTTTTACTTGCAGAGATACGACCAGCACCTCACATGGACAATTTGGTGTCTGTTTTCAAAAGCATGGAAGCTGCAGCGGGCACTAGTGTTGTGTCAACACAGCTGACTCCAGCACCCAAAGTTGCAGGTAACTAGATATATTTAGTTTCTGTTTCGTGGCACATGAGCAAGATTTAGTTACTTACACTGGTTGTTTTGCATCTCTGTCTCTGTACCACATATGTTGAGTCTATTTGAGCATATTTGCTGTTTAAGATCGTTTTCTCTCTAACAATCGAATTTCAGAGAAAATGAATGATAGTATTAGACTTACTGTCTTCCTTTTACTTGAAATGGATCAGATTGTGCTGGGAACAGTGCTGGGAAGCCTAAAAAGTCGAATAAAAAGAAGCCAGCATCCAAGAATGAAAAGAATACAACCAAAACTGCTGCAACATCTGCAACTGCAAAGCCTTCAATCTCCAAGAACAAAAGAATACACGTGACACCATTCCCTGAATCTGAGACGCCGATAAGGCCCAAGAAGGTTATGAAGTCTGATGAGCAAAAAAGTAATCTGAATGGTGATGTTAAAGAGGATAAAGATAAAAGTCTGAACTCTGATATACCAGAAAGCCCTTCATTGTCACCTTTTTTCTGGCTGAGGGAACAAGAGGAAAATGAAGGTGGCACTGCTGAAACTTTGAGTGAACCACCATCATTGGACACACCCTTGCGTCACAATGCGCCTACCTTTAGTGATATCAAAGATTCTGATGATGAAAGGCCTAATGATATGACTCCTAATGTAGGTTACTTAGAACATGTTTTCTTTTTCCTCCCCCCACACACACACACACACACACACACTTTTTTTTTGGTTTCCTGGTTCAACTGTTGTGCTTACTGTTTGGTTACATGTGTTGCAGAGCAAAGCTGAGGTTTCAGAAATATTTGACAGTGAAATCTTTGCATGGAGCCAAAGACCTTGCTCCCCTGAACTGCGTTCTACCCCACTGAAAAGTCAGGTATTTTGGTTAACTGAGACAGGCTTTATATTTTCAGTTCTCCCACCTTTACAATCTGAATATATACATGTATTTGACTCAGCTGTTTTGTTTGTTCAGGGTAAGTTGAAGAATATTCTAGATCAAATCACAGAGGTGGATGATGGTGAAGATATGAATCTTGGTGGTTCATTTGATAAGTTAGACCATGAAAGTAATGTAGCTCAGCCTCTAAATGCTGAAGAAGTTAAGAAGAAAAAGTTAACAAGACCTAGGAAAAGAAAGAATTCAAAACTGCCCAGTAGTGGCAAACTATGTACAAGAGGATCTGATGCTGAGCACCAAGTTGCAAATATCCCAGAAAGTATTGTTGCAAAGCCACGGCAAAAGGACGGCAGTAAAAAAGAGAGAAATACTTCAAATGGAGGAAACAAGGTCTCTGGCAACAACGCTACAGCTGTCTTTTCTAGTGATAAATCTATGAATACATTTTCCCCTCAAGCAGGTGGTTTGGGCAATGAAGTACCTGAGAACCAGCTTTCAGAAAGGATCCCCAAAAAGGATAAAAACAGTCGAAGCAAACTTGAAATAGCAGGGGATAGTGCAGTGAAGACTGCAGAGAATAAATCTGATCAAAGAGGGAAGCGGATCAGAAGAATTTCTGATGGTGCTGTAGCTGAAAAGATAAGAATTCTTTCAGAGGCTGAAAATGAAATAGAATCGTTTCAGCTTCACAGCCTCACAAAAGGCTGCACCCAACATAAACCCTTGGATGGTAGAAGTAAAAAAAACATCGTATCCAACATTGGTCCAAATACACCAAGCATTTTACCTGGGAGGGACCAATTTAACATTGGTCCAAATACACCAAGCATTTTACCTAGGAGGTGCCCATTAAATGAGGCCATACGCACAGTTCCTTCAGTAAGGAATGTCTCTGTTAAGAATGGTAGTGCAAAACCTATTGAACAACAAGATTACTCAGGAACTGTCAGATCATGCACTGCACGCAATGCTGTCCTGAAGAAATGCGAGGATAAAGCTTCTAAGCTTTACTGTGCTTTCTGCCAGTCTGATGATATCACAGAGGTATGCGCACACACCAGACAAGTCGGTTTGCAAAGTCTTTTCCTTAAAGTTACAAATCCTTCCTTTAACTAATGGAATAAATAACCAAATTTTCCTTTTTGTTCTGAAGGGATCTGGAGAGATGGTTCACTACCATAATGGAAAGCAAGTACCTGCAGCATTTGATGGAGGGGCTACTGTACATTGCCACAAAAACTGTCTGGAGTGGTATGCAGCCCCTTTCTAATAGAATTTTATATTGGAAGAAACTTTAATTTTCAGTATCCCTAGCTAATTCATGTATATGATTTTTCTTCCACCTTAGGGCTCCTGATGTTTACTTTGAAGATGATTCTGTCTTTAATCTTACAAATGAGCTGGCTAGAAGTAAAAGAATCAAATGTGCTTGCTGTGGAATTAAAGGTGCTGCACTTGGATGCTTCGAGACGAGTTGTCGAAAAAGCTTCCATTTCACCTGTGCTAAATTAATCCCAGAATGTAGATGGGATAATGTAAGTTCATATCATGTTGCACTAGTGTTTTCAACTAGCTTCTTGGTGTTTTGCGTCCAGCACTGTCACCTTATTTCTGTCTTTTCTCTTTTCTTTTGCTGACAGGAAAACTTTGTGATGCTATGCCCTTTGCACCAATCTTCAAAGTTGCCTAGAGAGACTTCTGGGTTGAAAAAGAAGTCGCACAGGAAACTAACACCAAAAGGGTATTTTCCAGTGTTTACAACATGTTAGTTTAAAAAACTAAGTTTGATGCAGATATGGATATTTACTGCATAACCGCTTTACAGGCCATCTCAAGTAAATTCTAGTCAAGGTCATGGTAATAAATGGACATGGCCATCTGGATCACCACAGAAATGGGTTCTCTGCTGTTCAGCCCTTTCTGCTACAGAAAAGGTGTTTTCTTGTGTCCTTAGTTTCCTGATAATTTTTATGATACTTTTTTCATATGCATTTGAACTGAAGTAAAATGAACAAATCCTTCAGGGTATTGTCTCAGAATTCGCAAAAATAGCTGGTGTGCCTATCTCAACAAGTTGGAGTCCTAATGTTACTCATGTTATTGCATCAACCAACATGTCTGGTGCTTGCAAGCGCACACTGAAGTTTCTGATGGCAATCTTGAATGGCAAATGGGTTATCTCCATCGACTGTAAGTCTGTTTTATTACCTGCTGGAACGATCATTAATTCATTACAAGAATAGTTTGCACTTGACAAATTGCTGCCCTTTGTTGCTAAATACCGACTTTATTCCATAGGGGTTAAGACATGCATGGAACTTATGGAACCTGTTGATGAAATGAGATTTGAAATTTCCACTGATGTACATGGCACTGCTGAGGGTCCCAGGTTAGGCAGACAACGAGTTATCAATAAGGTAAGTATTTTCTGTTGTTATGCACTCCACCTAGTCTCATTATCTACAGTCACTGCCAACAATATCAGTGCAATGCTAGGTTAAGGACATTGTTAGCATGAGCATGATTATTTGCAGGATATTTTCTAGTAATAACATTTTTTCCTTATTCTGCAGCAACCTAAATTATTTGACGGTATTGAGTTCTATCTCCATGGAGATTACACCAAGTCCTACAGTGGCTACCTGCAAGACCTTGTGGTTGCAGCCGGTGGAACTGTCCTGCAAAGGAAGCCTGTGTCAAGAAATCAGCAGAAGTTGGTTGACGACAGCTCCCTCATCCTCATCGTCTACAGCATTGAGAATCAAGACAAGGCAAAACCAAGATCAAGGGATGGCATAAATATTAATCGTAGCCAAGTTGATGCTCAGGCTCTGGCCTATGCCTCTGGTGGCAAAGTTGTGAGCAGCGCATGGATCATTGACTCCATAGCAGCTTGCAACCTTCAACCTCTTTAAGTTAAGGGAGCCTTCCATGCTGCCCTAAATGTGTGCTTGCATGCACTGTAGATTGAGTAATGGACAGACAATAGTGTAAGTATCAGTACACAGGCCTTAGGCTGCTCCTTAGACCTCCTAAGGTGCTCGCTTGAAGCGCGGCGTTTGTATGTTTAAACTCTTCTATCTTAATTGCAATGGCACACAAATCTTTTGCGTATTCAAGAAAAAACCGCCACCAGATTTCATCAATACCATAGTTAATCCTCTGTTTTAATTAAAAGCAGTGCCACAATGTTGAGTTTGTATCAGGTTGTTATACATGGTGACTGCAACTGAATTCAAAAGACATGGCTTATGCAGCTAATTATATATGGGAATTTGTATGGAGCTCATTAACACATCTACGAAGCAGCAAGCCCCCTGTTACTAGATGAAAACTGTAATGTCAACCAAGTGGAGAGTAATATAAGTCATGAATAAGCGCAACACATCCAGAGTGGTATTAAAATTATGATAAGTTACACTGCAGTTGCCAATCAAAGCTTGTACGAATGCCATGCAGCTAGCTGGCTATTAATATACCCCCATGTAGCAGACTTGGCCAAAGTGCAGTTGATGTCAAGGTGAAATTTGAATCCTTAATAAGTCACGGTATTGAGCTCCATCAGCAAGCGTCATCACTAACAAGTCAATGCCCAAAAGTCCCATCATTGTGTCTATCAAAACTGTCATCATTTCTTGTTCAGAAGTATGAGTACTGGAGCAATTGGCCTATTGATCATTTGAAGCTTGCAGGTCGCCCAGGTGTCCACAGGAAGGCTTGATGCAAATGATTCAACAACATCGAGTTCATCCCTAGGGATCAGAAAGAAGAAAATTAACAAGACCATGGCCCACTTTTTAAGTGACATTTGGCCAGAATTCAGTGTTCTGTTAAACAACAAGCTTGTGGTGGCAAGTCAGATCATGCAGAACAAACAGCAAATAGTTGTATTTATTTATTTATATTAAAAAAGAAATGCATTCCTTGTCCAGAATCTATAGTTGTTAGTTCACTCATAAATGTTTTCGGTGACAAATAAACGAACAATATTACAGCACATGGGTACAATGTTTGCAATTGGTGTTTACCTTCCACCTGGATGCCCAATGTAAACAAGAACACTTATGAGTCCCCCAGAACTCAGAAGTCTGCTGGCAGCTTGCAATGCTAGCTCAGTTGTCCTAGGCACTGTGATTACAGTTTTATCTCCTCCTGGAAGGTAGCCCAAGTTGAAAGCAACAAGCCTAGAACGAATGTGCCACAGTGAATCAGCAAGTCTAGGATTGTTACTACTTGAACTGGCATTTCCACTTTTCCAGAAATTGTTTTGTTGACTTATAGTACTAAATGAGTTGAAATTTTCAAATAACAATGAACTTAGGAAGGCCTTGATCACCTGACAGGAGCATCTTTGGGAACAATTTCTTCTATTCTACTATGACATATAGGAAATAGTTTTACTAGTCCCTGCAGCCACATAAAACAAATATAGTCACAAGTTACTATATTAAATATTCAGTGAGAAGATGACAAGTATCCTCTCTCTCTAGATACTAAGGTCAAATCTGAATGCCTTCTTGTTAATTTTAATCATTTTCTTGTTTCCTTCTTCAGGGGAAATTAGGTACAGACTTCATAGTTCAAATCCACACCTGATGTTCATCACCCACGGCCATTTTCAGAAACGAGGAAGTACTCTCAATCGCAGAATCTTGAATGTCCATCCCATAAACACGTCCTCGTGCTGTTTCATCAGCCACCATCTTAAGCAGAGCGAGCGTGTCATTGCCATTCCCGCACGTGGCATCAACCACTGTATCCCCTTTTTGAACAATATTTCTCCACACCCTAACCATAAACACACATACAAGATTAGATATCGCCTATCAGAGAAACATGGAGATAGTTCCTCTCACACATCTCACTTGAGTTACTGTATCTACATGCAACTGAACGATTTACCTCTGCAGCACCTCAGTAAACATAGGGCTAACATTGTTCTAGGTGGCTACTTACCTAGCTTCAGAAGAATTCCATGCTGCTACTTTCAGCGTTGGAAGAGAAGTTCACAGTATACACATTTTAATACTTAATCAACAATGGGGATTAGTACCTACGCGTGAGCTACCTCGGTGGCCTTCCTCTTACCGGTGACGAAGCCCACCACCGCCTCCTCCACCCCTGCGACGGAAACGCACTCAACAACCTCAGCAAATTCGCCGACCAACGCCGATATGAAGAAAAAACAGAAATAGAAACCAAAAAAACCTTCAGGTTGCTGCGCCGTCGCGACGCCCGCGGAGGCGAGCTGTGCAGCGGAGGCGCGAACGGAGATGTACCTCCTGGTCCTGCAAAGGGGCGCATCGCAGCTGGATCCTCGCCGGAGGAGAGGGGTTAGGGTTTGGGAGCGGAGGAGAAGGTGAAGGCGCAGCGATAGTGGAGGGTGCAGCGGCGGCGGCATCGTGGCGGGCAGCTGCGAGTCTGCGACGGCGGCGGATTGGCGATGTGCTCTGCGATTGGAAATGGCTGCGGCTGCGCCGCTGTGGTGAGACTGCGTTCGCCGGATGGAAATCAACGGACCAAGTTTGTCTGTGAGGCCGTAGGAAAAAATAATTAAAAATATCGGGCCGAGACTCAGACGTGCTCGTATCATCTGCGAAGATGACAAGTCGTGACGACCCATGTGTCAAGAATTTATTTGGGGTGAGAGAGGCTCGAACTCTCAACCTCAGGATAACTCAAACAGCTATGAGACCTACGCGCTAGCCAACTGCGCCACCTTCGTGGTGTGGTAGTTGTGCAGATGAAACGCCGTAGGATTGTCTCCGACAACCGTTACATAAAATACTAGATCCATTCTACGTTTAGGTAGCGTCATTGACAAATGGTTTAATACCCATCTTTGGTCTTCTCCAACAACCAGATAAAAAAAGAACAATTTTTGCAAATAAGTCTCCAGGAGAGATGATACTCAGATTTGGTTTATAGCTCTTCTGACACTCAAAATGGGTCTTCCATATAGATACTCTGTTGGAGGCTATATGTATTCTGTTAGAGACCCATTTTAAATTTGGATCTCCTATCTCCTATTAAAGACAGCCTAAGTCAGTGCACACAAAAACAAGCAAAGAGCAAGAGAAAGTGAAGGCTTTCTTCCGTTTCACTTTTGTCTTCTTATATTCGATAATGATATGAGTCACACAATTTTTTTGACAGTGATAAGCCACGGACGTCCGTACGCTCCGCGCGCCCTGCTCGCACCCCGCCTGCCCATGTCGTTGCTCGCTCCGGCTATCACACCCTGCTTGCCGCGACCATCTCGCAGGGCCACCTCCACCGCGCCAGATCGTTGCGTCGCTCGCCCATATTGCACTAAAAACGTATGTTGCAAACGTACGTGTCAAGTATTTTAGATATTTCAGAGGTATGTTGCAAGTTTCATAGGGATGTTGCACAGGTAGATCCGGATGTTGCACATGTTGCAATGGCTATACACGTATGTTTCAAGAGTTTGTTCAAAATGTTTTATTTGTTTCAGACATATGTTGCAAGTATTTTATCTGGATGTTGCATATGTTGTAAATGATTATGTTGCAAGTGTATGTTTCGTCTGTTTTAGATGTATATTGTAATGGTATCATCTGAGTGTTACAAAAGTAGATCTAGATTATATGTGGAGGAAGCTTAAGCCCTCGGTGGTCCAGCTGCTGCAGCTCCCATGGGCCCCGTTCGGCTTACCCCATATTCGGCTTGTTCGGCTTCTTTTTTCAGTCGGAACAGTATTTTTCTCTCACAATAATTCAACAAGAATAATATTTTTCAGCCAATTTCAACTAAAATTCAGCAAGCCGAACGGGGCCATGGTGTTGTGAAGATGGAGGCCGTAGACACGACAGTGGCGGGGATGGGATGCCGCGACGGATCGGCCGGGATGGGGAGTGGGATGGGATGCGGGCGAGGGAGCTACATGCGTCGAGCGCTGGTGCGGGAGCTCTGTCCGGATGAATACTGCCTCTAGAGCGGGATGGGCATTGTAACACCCTCGGTGTTACACCCTAAATCATTTATAAAAACATGTCATGAGCATCATGTTTATGTGTTAATGCATGTGATAGGGTGTGTAGATAAGTTTCTTGTAACTTAAAATGATCAATAAAAATATTAAACGAAAGTTGATTCAATAGTCCATGTATATCAAGTAGGGTTGAAAACTAATTTTTATTAAGCGAAAATACTATAGAACGTGTGTGTGATACTTAAATAAAGTTTGAAGTACAAACTTTATAGATAACAGTGAAATACTTATTGTCAAAAAATGATATTACTAGCTAATATTTCCACTAGCTTAGAAATCGCAAATTAAAATCAAGCTCAGCTCAAAAACTTAGAAATTTTCCAAGTTTGTCAACAACTAGACATTGCTATGTTTAGCAAATTATTTTAAAAGACTGGGTTAAAGGGTGGTGTAGTATTATAGCTTGATTTGGTAGTCTCATATGCCATCTTGAGTATGGTGAAGGTGGTTTGGCTCCTGAAGCAACTATTTAGTGGTTTTGGACGCTTTAAAATTCGTGCACGCCACATGTCTCGGGTTGGTTGGCGCCGTGTGCGCGGTCACCGCGCGGCCTCCCCACGCCGCGCACATGGCCGTGTCTCACGCGGTCACCCTATGCCACCATGCTGGGTCGGTCGGGCTGCCTGGGCTTGGTCGAGGCCGACCGCAGCGAGCCGTTGGCCTCGCGCCCTGTTGCCCTGCCTCGTGCTGCCGCCATTGGTGCCGCCATGGCCGCGCTGCGCTGCGTCGCATCGTCATCATGTCCGTGCCAGTCCGCTGTAACCCTACGCCGCTGCCAGCCCAGTTCAAGGCTGCCACTGCCGTGCGTACGTGGTTGAGCCGCCGTCGCCATGTCAATTAAGGCACTATGGCCACGTGGGCCACGCCGGTCGGACGCATGCACGCCTTGTCTATAGCGCCTGCGCGTGGGTGTCCTGATCGCACCGCTCGCGTCCCGCCAAGTTGAGGACAAGCCGAGCCACCTGCCGCGCCCGTCTCTCTCTTTCTCTCTTTCTTCCTCTACTGCCGCCGTCGAGCCGCGCCATTAAATTCGTCAAGGAAAGATTACCTCAAGTCAATTTGTTGCATTGCTGGCTCCGTCACACAGCTGCCTAGCTACCCGACCCCACCCAGCTTTGAAGCGAGCATAGCCAAGCTCCAATTTGGAGTTTCTTCTGCCGTCGTGTCGATAAGGCCACATCCGGCCATGGGTGAGGGCAGCTCTCCCATCGTCCCTCCTGAGCCAATTCACATGCACCACTAGCATCCCCTTAACTCCCTCTCCACCTTGTGTGCCTTAGTTGAACCGTTACCGCCTCCCCTTCGTCGTTGACGCAACCGTGCCACCGTGGTGCGCCATCGCATGGCTCGACCGCACATGGCCAACCTTTCTCCGTCATCCTCCGCCCCAACTGTCACCTCAGCCTAGTCCATGGTGGCCTCCTGATGCTCACACGCTAAACGATTAGGTCTATAGCTGCCCCAGCTCACTGGAACAGTGGCGCCGCCATCACGGATGGCCGCGCGCTGCTGCAGCCTTCCCCAGTGAGTTCTATCACCCCTCACCGCCGCTTAGCGTAGCCGCTTGGGTCGGAGATGGTGATCGACCCGTTAGGTGGGCCCGCATAGATCCTAGGTGGCCGGCATAAGCGCTCAGTGCTGCCGCTCGCCGCGCTGCCGTGCGCTGGGTCACCAGGGGTGCGCACGGGTGAATTAGGGAAAGGCTAGGGGGTTAAGTGAGAAGTTATGAGAGAGGGGAAAATAGCGCCAAGACTTAGTTGTAATTCAGGAGAAGTGCGAGGTCTCTTTTGCAAAGTCGTCGACGCTGCTTGGCTGGGCCGTCTCCATGTGGCACATCATTGGCCATCATCACACACACACAAGGCCACGTCAGCATGGGGGCATGCGTGTGGGGCTACGCAGGAGAATTCATTTTTCTTTTTCATAAGGAATTAGAAATAGTTTTCTAATATAATTTTTGAGCTGATCTTTGGTAAATCATATAAAGTCATGTAGGTGTCTAAAAATTATGAAACAAATTTTGTTAAATTCCTAAAATTGTGCTCTATCTGTTAGTGTATTTAGTTCATATATATACGTATTGATACCAGGTGCTATTAAATCATCTAAAAATATTTAATATTGTTAGGAGAATTATTGTAGGAATTTTTGTGGTAAATTGGTGATAACTTTAGTCCTAAAATTTTTATGGTAGCTTCATTGTATTATTATGTGCTCACTGTAATTTTTATAGCTTTAGAATAGATTAAGCTTTAGGGTAGTTAAATGCTCTTTATTTCAAATATGCGTTAAATCATTAGTAGGAATAAAGATATATCCTTCATTTATAAAGCTAGGTGTTTGTTAGTTGAACCCAACACTTTGCTTGGTAAAATGATAGTTAGCTTAGCACCTTAGTCATTAGAGCTAGCTTAGTAGCCTGGTATGCATATTCTTATTGTAAAGTTGTTGTTGCATAAATGCTGAGTGTTGCATCATCATCACATGCATGTGGAGAATGAGTTGGCGGAGATCGTGACCATCGGAGATCACGAGTTTGAGAAATCATCGAGGAGTATGAGGAGGAGATTCTCGTGCAGGAGGAGGTCCCGAAGCTGCCACTGACTGACTCAGCTGACACCACGCCTGCCCAAGGCAAGCCCTGGTCCATAACCCTTATTTTGAATAATCACTGGATATATATATGTGATGTGCATTTATGTTATAGGATTTATATTGAAACCACACGCATAAATAAACCTACCTATGAATTCTACTAGCATAGGTCGAGTAGCTGCTATGCTTAGTCTATCGGTAGCGTGAGCAACCTGCCGTTACTCATAATAGGGGATTATTATTATTACTCTCATGATAAAATGATGAAAGGAAATGGAGACCGAACAGGGATATGGTACGGGTATTGGTGGGTGTAATATGTTGTGTCCCACGGCCAACGGGGCATAACTTGGTTACATAATTTTCCTGTCCATGTCGGTTAAGGACCGTCCATTGCTATGGATGGTAGTCAGGTCACAACCTTATTATCCTGAGCACATACTTGCTTATGGGAGTGGGAAGGCTCGTTGCTCTCTTGTCGTGGGTTCTAGCTCTTTCCGGACCGACTGATTGGAGGCGGAGATGGTGGAGGTCTAAGCACCACACTGAGTCCGAGACTTAGGAGTGGGGGCTTGGAGTTCAAGTTTGGACGAGGACCTAGACCCCTTGATAGGAGAGTGATGGATTGGTCTTGCTTGTGCCTGGGGTACAAGCGGGGCGTGTGTTTCGAGATACCCAGCTGGAATACATTGGTTCACGAATCACCATGTGATACGGTATGACTTGGCTATAATATAGCACCGTAGTAAGAACTGGAAGATGAAAGGGGATGAATGGATCTGATTGCTCAA